AGAGGTGGCTACATACAGGAGACGGTACCGCCATCTAGTGAACACTGCAAGAACTAAACTAGAGGTGGCTACATACAGGCTACAGGGGACGCACAGCCCACGCCCTAAGGAGCTTCGCCCCTAAAACGAAGGAACAAGGCAAAGCCACAAAGGGTGCGATACTTTTCACCGCCAAAAAACTGCTCTCTTTGGGGTGCGTTTTTGTCCTACAAAAATAGTCCGAAGTGGCCCCGCCCAGACGACCGAAGCGCGGCAGCGCATCACCTCCGCGACTGAAGAAATAGTCCCGCCCTGCGTGATACGCCAAAGGCGGAGTCAGCGGCAGGCCAGCTCGCGACATCATAGAATGGTGACGTCACTCTGGAGTGCGTGCCCATTGGTGCAGGCATTGTGTGCATCCGCATTTGAGGAGAATATGCGGTGGACTTTGAGAGTTTGCTCGCGTTTTCTTCGTATAGAGAACTTGCTTAGAGTTTGCATGCGTTTCATTCGTAGGCACTGCGCCGTGCTTCCTACCGGGCTGCAGAAATTAGGTGCCTTCTTTTCTAACCACTACCACCACCTTCGTAGAAAACTCGGCGCTCGCTGGTAGTGATGAATGTGGGCGAAGACGCCTCGAATGCGGCCTTTCTTTTCAAGTGAAGGTTCTGCGAGCAGGGGCAGAGCAAAACAAGAAAAAAAAAATATCCGAGTGTGTGTGTGGGGGGAGCACTATCTTCATCTGAGGCGAGGACCGGGCGCGTAGACAATAGCAGTCTAGCAGTACTCGCATTTGGGCTAGTTGATCCATGTCTGAATTCAATAGAACATTTCGTGCCAAAATCGCGACCACACTGACACTGCAAACGAAAGAAACACGTGGACAGGACGGGCGTTGCCATTTTGTGCTCTGTGGGCCATGGTAAAGACATTTCGGGAGTGTGGGCATGGGTTGGGTGTGCCATCCGCTGGCTAAGTCACTGTCGAGTTACAGATATCGGTGGTGGTGACGTGCATAGAATCGATCCTCCAAGGCTCGCCAGTCACATGAAGACGCGTAACCAGAAACTATGTCGTAACCAGAAATTGTTTTCGGGTATGGGGGGGTTCCGAGAAATGGTAATTTGTAGCTCTCTATGTTTTAGCTACTGTACCACGGTGAAAAAAAAAATCGGGGCGGGGACACGGGGTTGTTGTGCCACCTTCTGGCTACGCCCCTGGTCACATCTGTATTTCGATGCACCATTTTCCAATACCTGATGCTGGGCGTGTCGTCGATCAGCCTTTCTAATTCAAAATTCGATTTCTTAATATCCACGCCACTTGTAATTTACGTTGTGCCCCGCCGCGGTGGTCTAGTGGCTAAGGTACTCGGCTGCTGACCCGCAGGTCACGGGTTCAAATCCCGGCTGCGGCGGCTGCATTTCCGATGGAGGCGGAAATGTCGAGGCCCGTGTGCTCAGATTTGGGTGCACGTTAAAGAACCCCAGGTGGTCAAAATTTCCGGAGCCCTCCACTACGCCGTCTCTCATAATCATATGGTGGTTTTGGGACGTTAAACCCCACAAATCAATCAATTTACGTTGTCACATTTCATCGCTGCCTTCTTATCTGCATTTCACTGTTTCACGCCTGACCGAACGTTGTTGCCCGTAGCTGTAGGAAGAACTTGTAGAAGGAAGACCTTTGGAGGCAGGACCAGCGTTGCTATTGTCATAGACGTTCACGAAGACAACAGTCGTCGTGTTCAAGGCGGAGCTCTTCGTTCGGGCGAACTTGTGCCCGGAAAAGAAAAGTCCAACCCATTTTATGGTCCAAGTACAATCAATCATACACGCTGTACACTGATAGCGGCGAACCACAGGAAACGAAAAGTACGCACTGTACAGAGCGCTGGTTGGCGATACCCTGATCTGCGATAAGGCACGTCGGCATTGTACACACACGGCATCGAACATTCGAGCCACTCGCTCGTGGCCGTGCTAGTTGTAGAGCACACTCAACTGTTCAATGTTTGTGCGCTCATGCCTATCAGAGGATTCTGAAATAATCTTCAAGGTTCCCAGTTATTCGGGTGCGGTTTAATGATAATATCTGTTGTTTAACATCCCAAAGCCACGATATGGTTTTGAGACACGCCGTAGCGGAGGACTCCGGAAATTCCGTCGGGTGTGACGTCACGCGTACTGAGTACACGGACCTATCACTTCGCCTCCATCGAAATACGACCGCCGTGACCGGAATCGTACCCGCGACCTTTGGGTGAGCAGCTGAGCACCGCACCAGCTACACCACCACGACGGACATCGAGCGGTTTGCGCGAGGCAGTGCTAATACGAAAAGATAAGCTTTGAAAAAGTTGGATGCGCTATACTTAGATGACAAGCCATTCAGATATTTAGAGATATGATGCTTGAAAGAGAAATTTCAAGAGAGGCACTGCAAGGGGTGCCCCCCCCCCCCAGCCTGAGCATTAGGGGGGTCAGGACACCCATGACAACCCCATGATTTACGCCACAGCGTACGAGGCTTGCACCTTTTGATGAGTGCGCCCGCTACTTTCATGCAGCTCACAAAAGGTGTATACTTGCTGTATCAACGTGTTCATGAAAAAAAAAGCAAATCCTTCTTTTTTGTCGTACATTTGCACACACAGACAGTGCAATGAGACTGGACGTCTCTTCACTTGGCCAAGATAAGAGACGCCATCAGGAGAGAAAATTAACACCCCAATCAAGTGATATAACGTCTGAGAAGCTGAATCATGAAATTGCTAAGCAAGCCACATATTAATTGGGAGACGAAAATACTCCAGAAATAGAGCAGAATCGTTTTAGTGCCAAGGCACTATATAGAGTGTCGGCTTGTCATATCGTCGTGGTATATCATAAACGAGTACGTGCCACAAAAAATGGTTAAATACCACTACTCGCCACCAGTACATGCTAGGCCTATATCGAGTTAAAGGTTCGCAGTTGCTGCCAAGACATTTTGTTTGGCTTCAGAATTATCGACGAAATTTACCAAGGCGCTCATGTTTAAAACCAGAGAACCAAACGTCTCGTTGGGAAAGTCGCCTATTTGAAACATCATTTCTTGAAACATATCTGCAAACTGATGGTGCTTTACCGGTCCACTGAAAATTCAACGAAAGTTCGGCGACGCTTGCGGAAATGAAACACCTTTTTCTACATGTTGTATAGGGAATTGTATGTATAAAAAAGAAGCACTTTAGGGTAAACCGCGTTCCGACAGTCTTCCATCTACGTTATGTGGAGCTGAACCACGTACTCCTCCCTGCCGGCCCGGTTTGAGACTTCACACCGCTATACCGCCTCATCAAAGAAAACTCCCTCACAACAATCTGGTGAATTACCATGTTTTTTACTCATTTTTGTCCGAGTCTTCGATATTATACCTTTTTTTTAACTCTCCCATGTTCTTCCCACTTTCTATCCTACTGTGTTTCTTTCCCCTATCTCTTACCTTTTCCTGAAAGAGCAGGTAGGCTCTTTCGGGAAAAGCTGACTGTTGCAACCACTGATCTCTACTAGGAGGTCTAATGGAGATCAGTGGCTGCAACTACGCAGTAGTCAGCCTTTCCTCCGTGTTTGTAGAAATCAAACTACAATAATAATTATCTTTATTGTCATCTTTGATAGTACATCATAGATAACAGGCCTGTCAAAGCCGAAACGTGACTTGCAGGGCTTGCCTCGGTACATAGGCAAACGAGAGATGATACACAACAAAGTATACGTATTTGTAGTGTTGCCTTTCAGCGGTAATTCGCTTCAAAAATTCACATTCATTCTTCATATGCAACTGCACGTATACAGAGGCTAGCCCTTGTAATGGCGTATGAGACACGTTCGTTGATCATCATCATCAGCCTGACTACGTCCACTGCAGGACAAAGGCCTCTCCCATGTTCCACCAGGCAACTCGGTCCTGTGCTTGCTGCTGCCGTTTTATACCTGCAAGCTTCCACATCTCATCTGTCCACTTAACTTTCCGTCTCCTCTTCACGCGCTTGCCTTCTCTGGGAATCCAGTCAGTTAGTTACCCTTAATGACCAGCGGTTATCCTGCCTACGCGCTACGTACCCGACTGATGTCCATTTCCTCTTCTTGATTTCAACTATGATATCCTTAACCCCGGTTTGTTTCCTGATCCACTTTTCTCTCTATTTGTCCCACTTTCGTTGATAAGCTACACATAAATCGACATCTCAACCATTGCTATCATTCGGACAGTTTTACGGCGCGCGCATGGCTTCCACGACTCTCCATCCGTTATCTCAGATATTGCGAAATTTTAGTTACAATGGCGTGCGTTTCGAGCGGCGTTGGGAGGGCGCGATACCTTTATAGTCACATTAGGTGTGATCAAGCTAAAATCAGCTAGTGTAGACGCTATAAATGCGCAAACGCCAGCCGTTTTGGGGATAAGCCCGGATTGTATTGGAGCGCGAACGACTGCATAGCTGTCAGCCAAGCCGCGGGTTTCCCGCATTTGCGCGCCGCATGACGCGCGGATAAGGCTCACGGTTGACTCACCAGCTGCACACAACCGAACGCGAGATCACTGACCGGTCGCATTGCGTCTGCGAAAACCACGCACTTCGTCAGTGCCGTCGTCAGCGCAGACAGGCGGCTTGCCAGAACTACCAGAACTCATCGTCACGATTGTGTGAAGGCACTGAAGGTGTGGCTCCTGTCACGAGTCCCACACGAAAGCTGCAGAATATTTAAACAAAAAACGGGGAAAAAAAGTTTATGCTGCACGTGTTGCCAGCGTTACCTACTGTTAAAAAACAATAATTTAAACAAAATAACACTACATCCACATAACGCTAATTAGCTTTATATACTTTCTAATAGATGTCGCTACAAAGATTAAGTTTCAACTTGCGCACTCTGGGCGTATGTTTGACGTTGCCTCGACGGCTTGCATGCGTTGAGGTGGCGTAGTTTCGCCAAAACGCCTCCGCCAGCCGGACCACGCACGTCTCGCTTCGCGAAAGGCGAATGTCGCCAGGGCGCGCAACGGTTCCGAGGCGCGCGCGCCCACGCGGCCGACAAAGCAGGAGCGTGCGGCGGAAGCAGCGCAGATAAAAAATACCACCCGAGCGTGGGCAGCATCGTCGGTCGGGGCCAACGCAGGCGCGGCCCCCGAAGAGCAGGTGCCCGCCGCGCTGGACGTCGTCGTAGCAGCACGTCTTTCGAGAGCAGCGAGTCCACGATGTCGACCGAGGGCGGCGAGTCGTCGTCGCGCATCACCATCAGCGTGCACACCACAACGGGAGGTCGCATGCAACTACAGCTGCAACCGCAGTGCACCGTGGCCGCGCTCAAGAAGACGCTCTCGGCACGACTGCGGCTCGCCAAGGACCGGATGGTGCTGCTACACCGCAACAGGTCAGCTCACTCTGCGATAACGCCGCGATCTCTGCGCCGATTGCCCCCTCGTTTACTTGTTCGTCCTCGCGTTGTAAGCGTGCCGCCTATGAAGTCCGAGTTTAATTCGTCACAAAGCTGACCGTAGGCACTCCGGCTATCCCGTCCACTTCGGCGGTGCTGCATCCCTCGACGAAGGGAACCAGTAAGGAAAACCGAGCTAGGTGGTAGGAATGCACTGTGGAGTAGTGCAAGAAGTACAGTGACACAGGCAAAAGCAGCTTTTATATGTCGCTGAAGCAGTCTGCAACTGCGGTTATGTGTAAGTCGCCACTCCGACTGCCATGTCCACTTCGACCGTGTTATTTTGGCGAAGGGGCCACGCGATTGTTCTTTGCGATACGGAGTAGCCGAGCTGTTACAACAACGCATCGCTGCGACGCACGTATCCGCTCCGATTGCAACAAAAGAGCGCCGTCGCCCACGCTTGGGACGAATAGCTCGGCGACACCGAATAGCTCGAGTAGCCCACGCACGAAGGGCTGCGCATCCGCTGGCATGCAGGAGCTCTCCCCGGCGCTCGCTTGCGTTCCCTCGTTCGGCGCTCTGCGGCCCGGTTTGTTTGTGCTAGTTGGAGCTTCAACAACGGCAAGCCGGATCGGTAGTGGTGGGCCTTAAGTTCATCGACGCATTCTGCATGTCGTCACCGCGGCCTCTATTTGTCAGTTCCCGACGCCGAACCCGAAAACGGATCTGAGGGGGTGTATTGCAGGAGTGGCCTACTCGACCGATTCACGCGGCTTTGGCTTTGTTCGTAGGCGCAGCGTAGGTCGTGCGTATATTTGCGCAGCGCGAGGATTTTTTTTTGCCTTTTCCACAATGCATCCTTGCAAGCTGCAGCACACGCGAAGGCCGAGTTAATGGGTGTTTATTCTAAAACGCATCCACTTCCCCGTCGCCAAGTTCCCCAAAAAAACTCTCTTGAGGGGGAGTCTTACTTTTTGCACTCTGGGGTTGCAAGGCAATGCTTTAGCGAGAACGGTAGTTTTCGTTAAGTTCTCGATAAGTCAGTCGCACTTGTACTTAGCGAGCTTGCAATGCGGTGAACATAACTACAGCTATGACAAAGACGTTTCTTGTGAGTGCGCTAAAGTAATTGATAACGTGTATACAAGGGAACGACCGCCGACGTATCAGAGTCGGTAGAGTAACGTTGGTCCGCAGGTTGTAAGTTCGACCCCGCGCGGTCGTAAGTTGACTTTTTGTCCACTTCACATCATCACTACGATCGATACTTGTAGCAGTGCAGTTAACGTCATACTTTCGTGGGCTTGATGATCTGCCGGTTTTCTATCTCAAGTCGCACTTTTCCAAAAAAACACCCCACTCTATGCACGCATGTATGAAGGGGCCGTTTTTTTTGTTTGTTCATCGAGCGGCCGGCCGTCGGTGCACCGAAACGGAAGCGCGCCGGGCATCGCCGGCGGGGGTTTTGCAGGCTTCGTGCGAACAAAACGCCCACGACAGCCTCTCGACCGCGGAGGCTTTGCCTTCCCAGAAATCTGGCGCGTCGCTGCGGAGTGGGTGGCTGGCTCCCCTGGGAAAAACGCGACCTCCTCACACCGCTTACGCACGCACGTGCATGCGAAACCCAGCCAGCCGAGGCTGTTTGAGCGAAACAACCTGCGTCGACGCCAGCGTTTCGTCGGCGTGCACGGCAGCGGAGGAGGGCCGTTCGTGTGTGGGGGACACCCACGCTTTCGGAATAATCAAAAAGCCAAAACGCGCGTGTTGGCCTGCCGAGCCGGCGTCGTTTCCTCCTGGGGCAACTCGGCCTTGCTTGCCGGTGCACGCTTTTGCTGTTCTGTTTTTTTTTTTTGCGTTGTCTTCCAGTCGCACTTTTTACGCAACGGTCGATCGCTTTTAAAGTGGCCGCGCTGGGGTCGTCTGTCCGAGTGACGTTCGAGGACGAGCAAATAGCAATATACGTGTGAGTGAAAGCTCAATGTATGACAACGTCTAAAACGACGATATTATAAACAGCAGTGCCCTACTTACCAAGGAATAAAGGTAAATGCACGAGAATACATGTGCCGCAGTAGGACATTCGCGAAATGATCCCGATGACGTTGAAGGGAACGCCTACAATTTATCACTAGTAATCGAACTAGCTGCACTAAATGAAGAACATTCCGTGCATCAAGATACGTAATAAAATGCTGTTTCTTCGTTTCCGACGTCTCCCCGATAAAGGGACTTTACTAGTCGCCCTTTAGAACCTCAATAAAGTTCATTGTCTGTCTGTCGGTTTCCGTTTGAGTCATGGAAAAAAGAACTGCGGGGCGTTACTATGGGGAATGCCGCGAATGGTTCAAAAGTTTAATTCAATTTTAGCCTGGTTAAAGTTAGTTACTGTATATGCATATAAGGTCCGTTCGATTCGCCTGCACCACGTGAACCAGTTCACGGGGTGCTGCACTTTGCCATTCGTTTCAGTGGTGCAACATTGACGACCTCTGAATCTCGTCATTCGTTTCAAAAGGTGCAGAAGAGTTGCAGCACTGGTTCACGTTTTTCGTGCACCTCCTACGCTGGTGGGGCCGGCTTGGTGCAGCCGTGCATGCAACTGAGCAGGCGACGCAGCACTTAGGCGTATGCGCCGTATCTGCCTCTACTAACGCTGTGTGTTTTGCCAAGATGTTTGCGCCTCATAAATTGTCCGCATGTGCGGTTCGCCATCGTTCAGTGTTAGCTGAACGGTGTAAATTAAGCCAACAGAAACAAGGTCTGTACCTTGTTGGCACATCGTCATTTGTTTCGGTGGTCGCGCTGTACCTGCACCGCTGAACGCACGCTGCACAATTTCTGAACTTCGTGTGCACAGCCATGAACCAGTTCTGATTAGTGCAGGTGAATCGAATGAACCTATACAGTAACTCTAGTTAAAGTGGACAAGTCGTGCCATCTCGCGGGGCCCTCTTGAAACAAGCACGTATGCCATCTCGGAGCCAATGGCAGGAAATCGTTCAATGGCCGCTGTTGCTGCTGTGGCTCCCGCTGCTTCCGTTCTGCTGCTACTTGTGTCGGCGGCCTCGCTGTAAAGCCGGGCAACGTCGTTTACATCAACAGTGACGTCACACGTTTCGCTTGAGGGGGCCGGGTAATTTGAAGCGCTCTAACCCTGTGCGGACCACCAAAATGACAGTTTATTTCAAACTAAGCACCTCGATCCTTGGCACAAAAATAATACTACAAGGTTTCTGGACCGCTATTTCGACAATCAACGTTGACTCAATAGTTGCCTTTAATGCCCCTTTATGAAGGCTCCCTGGGTGGCACCATAATCTCGTCTGCACTGTGTTAAATGTTCGGGACACACAGAAAATGCATTTCCTAAGCTGTGACGTCGGGCCTTGTAATTCTGTGCCACAGTCAAGAAAGGTGTTTCTTCTGTCTTGTGAAGATGTTTGTAGACAGTAAGGATAGACCGCACAAAGCTTTGTATTTGTTGTCACTGCGCATGCGCCATAAGTTATCCTTTGAGTACTCACGTTAGGTTTCGCATGAAACGTATTGTACCCAACGAATATATCTCTGCGCATTCTAAAACTGCCTAATCTCTGCGCATTCTAAAACTGCCTAATGAAGTAAATCCACTGTAGCTGTGGACTGCATACTACGTGCGGTGGGCCGTTTTGCAGAGACTTCGACAGAAGTTTGCTAGAGCGTAAATTTTATTTGCTGTGTTTCGTGTGTGTGTGTTCCATCGGCATCTCTCGAATGGTCGAGGCTTTCGGAGGCTGTTGCTTAATCCATTCAGTGTGGTTTTTCTTGTATCAGGTGAAACGTATTAGCCGTTATCGTCGCTGGATGCTCTGCAGGTATGGTGAAAGGTCGAGGCACATTTTATATGAGACTTCAGAGCGGCATCACTGTACGAAAAACAAACAAAACAAAACATTTCCTTGGCTGACTTTAAACACCGATTGTTGAGGTTCACTCTATCATGAGACAAGATTCTTGCCACAAAACACAGGGTTAAGGTACGGCGGCGTGGAAAAATAACCTGCAGAGGTTGAACTGTGGCTTTTCCGTAGTCATTGTCGTTCATGTAAAGCTTTGCCTGTGACGTCGGTGTCATGGATTCCACCTATACACAGTGCTATAGCGAATGAACGCAAACAAAAGCTTTAAATGGCGGCTATTTAGATTTATATATGTGTATTTGCGTTTAGTGTTTACGAAAGTTCGACGGCAGTCGAGTACGCGGTGGATCGACGGATTTCGCAGCGTTCAATTAATTGTGCCGACAGAACTATATACCAACCGAAAAACCCAAGACACGTCCTCTTACAGGATACCGCGCATATAATACTCTTTCGTTTTGATCAACGATGGCGGACACTGCGGGTAATACACCATTTACAAGCAACTTCTCATAGTCTCGCAGATAAAAAGCCATGCCGCGATGGCAAACATATCAGAAATACTAAAGGAGAAAAAAAAATATTGTATACAGAAAACACATTCAGAATACAAATAATGCACAAATAGAATAGAATACAAATAATGCAATTCACAAATAATGCACTTTCGTACGACAACACTAACACAAGTTCCGCGGTGGTCGTGTGCTTGCCCGCTGATCCGAAGGTGCACGGATTCGATCCTAACTGCGGTGGTTGCTTTTCGATGGAGGCGAAATTGTGACCCGTGTACTGTGTGGTGTCTGGGCACGTTGAAGAATACTGGATTGCCGAAATTTCCGGAGCCTTCCTCTACGACGTGTCTCATAGCCATATCGTGGTTTTGTGACGTGATACCGCAGATATTATTATTACGAACAACAACAAAAAAAAGTACTTCTCTTTTCAGCAACAGTGCCGTGACAACCCATCATGTCCACATAGTTCTTATTCATATAGATAATGCTAGTCACCGTTGGTAGACGCTCGAGAAAGAAAGGTTAAATTATAATGAGAAAGAGTGGTTGTTAGCCAATCCCGATCCTCGCAACATGT